TGAGACAATTTGTCTCTGCTTGCTCTCCTTTTTAAAATGGAAAAAGTTTTCAAAAGGTTAAAAATGCTATCCCATAAACCTATTCCTGATACATTGGCCTTTAGTTTTAATCCTCTAATCCTAAAATAGTTCCTAAAATTAACAAATAAATAAATAAATAATAATAATCATAATAAAACTACCCTTTTCATTTAAGTTTATTCCAACGGAATTCTCCCATAAACTTAAATGATCCTGCCAACTGTCATGCTAATCATCTTCTTATATTTGTCAAAAAGTACTTTCGGTAGCGATTTTGTAAAGATGTCCGCAACTTGATCCTGACTTGCCACATGCAGCAATTTCATGTTTCCCTCATTCACATGATCTCAGATAAAATGAAATCGAACAATTGCTGATTTGTTGTCAACTTGTGTTACGGTTGCACCTCGTTGCTTTAGCTCCATCTTACTCAATAAATTTCTAAGCCATATTGCATGACATACACACACCAAGAAGCTGCTACATACTCAGCTTCACACGTTGAGAGTGTCACAATCGGTTGTTTCTTATGACAACCAAGTAAGTGTTGTGTTGCCCATGAAGAATACATAACCCGATGTACTTTTCCGATCGTCTATGTCTCCGCACCAGTCATTGTCAGAGTAACCGACTAACTTGTAATCTTCTGTTTTTTAGTAGAATAACCCAAGTGACACCGTTCCTTGCATGTATCTTAGGACTTGCTTCAATGCCTTCTAATGTAAATAAATTGGCTCCTCCATGAGCTGGCTTATTATGCCAACACTTCATGAAAGATCTGGCCTTGTGTATGTAAGATAGCGAAGGCTTCTCACCAGGCTTCGGTACCTATTTGCATCTACTCGTTCTTCTTCATTGTACTTTGAGAGTTTTGCACCTGGTTCCATTGGTGTTGATACTAGGTTGCAATTTTCCAACTTGTACTTCTTCAAAATCTCCTTTGCATATTTTTCCTGTGATATAAAAATACTTGTCTCTCCTTGTTTTACCTCCAAACCGAGGAAAAACTTCAACAAGCCCAAGTCTATCATCTCAAATTCTCGTGTCATTGTGCTTTTGAACTCTTCTATCATTTCATCATTGTTGCCTGAGAAGATTAGGTCATCGACATAAAGAGCGATAAGTCTCACACTACCTTCACTCTTCTTTGTGTAAAGTGAATGTTTGTGGGGACATTGCTTGTACCCGTTCTCCTTGAACTATGTATCAAAACGAGTATTCCATGCTAGGCCTTCTTCAATTTTGGTACCTTCTTCTCTTCTCTAATTTTCATCTACCTGGGAGGTTGTTCGAGGTATACTTCTTCTTCAAGCACACCATTCAAGAATGTTGACTTGTCATCTATTTGAAAAATCGGCCATTTGAATTGAGCTGCTTGGGAAATGAGCAATCGGATTGTCTTCATTCTAGCGACGGGAGCAAACACTTCGTCATAGTTGATTCCTGCATTTTGCTTGTATCCCTTTGCAACAAGTCGCACTTTGTACCGCTCAATCTTGCCTTGAGCATTCATCTTTTTCTTGAATACCCACTTCACACCTATGGGCTAACTTCCTTCTGGTAATTCTGTCACTTCCCATGTGTTGTTGTGATGAATCGCTTTAATCTCCTCATCCATGGCAGTTTGCCACTTCATGTCTCGCACCGCCTCTTCAGACCTGATATTTTAAGCATCTGCCAGAAGACATACAAGGTGTACCTCATTTGTTGAATCATACAAATCTCGTAAACTTCGCATTTTGGGTTGTCGTAGTTCATCTTCATCATCGAAAATTTCTGAGTTTGTTGGTGCACTTGTTGGTGCAGCGACTGATTATTCTCCAACTTCGATATTGACTTCCGTCAAATTGTTCCAGTCCCATTCGCTTGCTTCATTTACTCGCTCATCGCAACTCACTATCACCATCTTGCTAATCGGGTCAAGTAGTTTGTATCCTTTTGTCTTCTCATCATATCCAATAAAGATATACCTTTTGCTTTTGTCTTCGAGCTTCGTTCTTCGTTGATCCGGTACGTGAGCATAAGCCACACTACCAAACACTTTGAGATGAGATTGTAGGCTTTTGTTCGCTCCAAGCCTCTTGTGGTGTTTGATCATCTAACTTCGCATGTAGACATCGATTCTGTACGTAGGTGACGCATTGCACAACTTCTCCCTAAATTCCTTCGGCATCCTTTCGCTCTTGAGCATTGAGCAAACCATGTCGAGAATAGTCCGGTTCTTTCTCTTAGCCACACCATTTTGTTGAGGGGTGTACGGTGCGGTTAGAGATCGCCTTATGCCTTGCTCCTTGCAGTACTCCATGAAAGCCATCGAAGTATACTCGCCACTTCTATCGAATCGTACAACTTTGATGTGTCTACCAGTTTCCTTCTCCACCATTACTTTGAACTTTTTGAACACCTTGAATGCCTCGAATTTTCCTTTCAGAAAGTAAGCCCAATTTTTTCGTGAGTAATCATCGATAAAGGAAATGAAATACCTCTTTCCACTGAAGGACTCGGGGGTAATTGGTCCATATATGATTGTATGGATCAATTCGAGAGGTTGTTTAGCCCAAAATTCAGCCTTCTTTTGAATTGAGGTTCTTGCCCGCTTGCTGAGCACGCATTCTTCACAAAATTTTTCTTCAAAATCCATGTTTGGTAGCCCATGTACTATATTCTTCTTCGTTAACTCGTTTAGGCCGTCATGATGTTGGTGACCAAAATGGAGATGCCACAGTGATGCCTTGTCTTCTACGTCGACTCGCAAACACTTTTCTTGTATGCTTCTTAAGTTCAATTTATACATCCGATTCCTTCCTATCTCAACTCAAGCAAACAAACGCCCTTGCTTATCCTACAGGTGTAGCAGGCGGTCCTTTAAGAATATTGAGTAACCTTTCTCTGTGAGTTGCCCCATACTCAATATGTTGGTCTTGAGGTTTGGTATGTAATATACATCTTGGATTGACCACATTACACCATCCTTTTGCAAGAAATGTATCGTACCTCGGCCTTTGACCTCCACCTTTGACGCATCTCCAAATGACACGTGACCATCTTCAACCTTTTGCATCTTTTTGAATAGGTACTCGTGACCGCACATATGGTTCCTTGCCCCTGAGTCGAGGTACCAAAGAGTGTCGTTGTTGATGTTCTCTTCATCTTGAGCTATCAAGAGAAGACCTTCATTTATTACGTCTTCCGAGGCTAGGTTGGTTGCTACTTCCACCATTTTTCCGGCTCGAAAAGCTTTTGCAGCGTGCCCCATTTTGCTACAATTGTAACATTTTTCGGAGTAAAAATCATTCGCATAATGACCATATTTTTTACATTTATAGCACTGAATGTTTGATTGGCCGCCTTTTCCTCAACTGCGTTCTCTTCCACGCCAATTTGCTTGGCTCGATAGTCTCTTCTCCTTATAAATTTCTTCATTTCTGCTGTCTTGACTACCTCGACCATTCCCGCGACTTCCTCGACCTCTACCTTGAACATTTTGAAAGTAGAGTACCTTTTCATTGTTTATTGATGCTTTGGTTTGAAGTGCTTGATCGAGTGTCTCACCCTTCTTCTTCTTACGTTGCTCGTGTGCCTCAAGAGAGCCGGCGAGCTCATCGACCGTGAACGTCGCTAGGTTCTATGACTCTTTTATCGCACATACAACATTCTCAAAGTTGTCGGTTAACGACATCAAGATCTTCTCCACAACCCGCGTCTTGAGTAACATTTCTCCGTTTCGATTTTGTTGATTTGCCTCGATTTATACACGCATAATGTAGTCAGATACATTTTCTGACTCCATCTTCATGCTCTCCAACTCGCCACGCATGAGTTTGGACACGCACTTGCTTGACTCGGTCGGTTCCTTTGAACATCTTTTCTAAAGTGTCCCACACTTTTTTTGAAGTAGTTGCCCTAGCAATCTTCTCAAAGCCCAACTCGTCAACGACCCGGAACAACATGTATAATGCTGCCTTATCCTTTGATCGTAATTCTTTTAGCGCCCTGTTTTGCGCCGCCGTATAACCCATAGTATCCTTTGGTTCTTCGAAACCTTTTTCGACCACCTCCCATGCGTCTTGTGAACCGAGAAGAACTTTCATTTGGATGCTCCAATTCTCATAGTTCGTCTTCGTTAATCGTGGTAGCGGCATTTGTTCCATCATATTCACCAGCAGCTCTGATAACAATTTGTTGAAAATAAAAGCTCGCTCTAATACTAATTTGTTAAAATAACACTCACGAAACTGTGAATGAGATGTCGAGAGGGGAGTGACAGGGAGACAAAGAATTCTGAAAAACCCCTTCTATTACAAACTTAAATGAGACAATTTCTCTCCGCTTGCTCTACTTGCTCTCCATTTTACAATGCTAAAACAAACTAATTAAAAAATGACTATCCCATAAACCCACTGTTCCTAATTCATTGGCCTCTCATTTTAACCCACTAATCCTCAAATAGTTCCCACTATTCTTTAAATAGTTATTCGCATCTCCTTTTTTGTTTTGGTCTTTTATTGAACGACTAAATTTCAAAACTCACTAAAATTAACAAAAAATAAATAATAAATGAAACGACTCTTTTCATTTAAGTTTATTCCAATTATATTTGTCTTCTTTGGACCGTTTCTACTAGGCTTTACTTCAAGATTTTAAAACTTTTCTACGGTAGAGAGGTTTCACTTTTATAAAAAATGTTTTTGTTCCAATCTCCAACCAATGTGTCTCCACTCTAACCGATGTGAAATATCACAAGAATATTCTTATTGTTCAATAATGCATGGAAGTAAAGGGCAAGAATGGTAAACAACAAAAACATCACTTTTATTCATTACTATCAAATACAGAGAATCAAAGTACAGAGCTACATAAGAACACACTTTTATTGACTTATATCATGCATAGCTATAGGAGTAGCTTGTTATAGAACAGCAATAGAAAACAAGGCAATAGCTTTAGAACCCCGCCATACGTTCAAAGAAGCCATCAAATCAAATAGAGATGCTGTTTGGAATGCCTCTACCGGTGAGGCCTTCGGTGCTAGATGGAAGAAGCAAAGTGTATGGCATATTAACAGGCCCACTTCGATTTTTGAGGTTGACATCTCTATTCCTTTCCATGATTCTATTTTCAACTTCAAATACTTGTTTCCCGAAGTTCTCAAAGGCATCTAATGCGGCTTTGTCCGATGTCCACTCAATGCTAGCTCTTTGCCCGAGATAAACTTCATCAGAAGCATGCCTTGACAAGATTTCAATAAGCGAAACACCAAGAAGTGTTTGAAGTTGTGAATTGATGGTTCTAAGGAAAGCCTTCTCAGGCTTTGATTCAAGCTCTTTGTACTCAGAGCTTCCTATTTCCGGCATGAACCGGCGGCTTATAGTTGGTCTATTGGGAATATAGCCTCCGTAAGGGTATTGTCCAAAGTTGACGGCTGCATGGAGAGCTGAAGAAATCCATATGATGATGGTACAACTTTCAACTAGATCATTAATGGATTGCATCTTCGGCCACCATGCTTCATTTTTCTTATCCGCGTGACCTTTTTCTCGTGCTTCCTTCCACCATGATTGGAGTTCGACGTCGTTTCGAATTGCCTCATCGTCTTTGTAATAAAGAGAGCAATAGTTTGCGACCCATGTTTTGATTATCGACCAAATCTCAAGTCCATCGACAGCAAATGGATAATCCTCTATTAGTAACCGAAGTCCATGTGGGGAATTTGCATCCTGAACCGCCACACCTCTACAAAAATCAAGAGAAAGAAGATGTTAAGAATTATTGGTAGAGGAGTCCCACATCGGTTAAATTAAGGAAGGAATACATTTCCATTGGTATGAGGTCTTTTGGAAAAATCAAAAGTAAAGCCATGAGAACTTATTCTCCAAGTGGACAATATCATACTATTATGGAGGGACGTGATTCCTAATAGATGTTTCATTTTTGTTGTTTGATTAAAATAGCTTAAGAAAGTCCATGCGCTTTGTAAATGGTGATTTACCTCTTGATGAGATCAACAGGTAATGCTTGTTCTACGAAATTCCAATCCTTGTATATGTAAGAAGACAACTCCATGGCGTATTTTGCTTGAAAATGTGTCGATTCGAGTAATCCATCGCCATTAACGAGGACTTGTCTTGCAAATGCATTTATAAACATAGTGTCCTTGTAATGAGGAACAAGCAGCTTATGAATGGGATGAACCACACTCAAATGTCTATGTGTTGCAATCACGAAAGGCTCTTGTACAGCGTGAGTATTCAACCTGTAATAGTTTTTGTAAGATTAGAGCGTTCAAATTAGTAGTGTTTAACGGTTATTTTGAAGAGTTAGTTCATATACCAGTGGCTGATAAGCTGATGGTAGCCAGCATCATTTACAACCACATAAGCCTTAGCCAATTGCCATATGGACTTTTGGACTCCTTCTTCAGCTGGAAAATATTGTTTACTAACAGCACCAAATTGATCGCCTTGAGGGTGTGGCAAGCTTAGCTCAATCACCAATGGCTTCAAAGTGCCATCAGCTTTCAAAAGGAGTATTGTCCTTGTGGCGTATGTTTTGGTAGATGTTCCATTGATTTTCCTAAGAAATGGCATCAATGCATCATGATGATCCAATATGAACAATCTCTTCTCATTCAATGCCTGCATGGATTCAAGTTTATACCCATCAATTGCATTATACAACAATATTAATTGAAAAGAAAAAAAAGGGAAGAACATATTACCTCTTCAACCGAAAGTCCTTCTAACCCGAATTTTATGTCTTCTTCTTTTATCTTGCTATTTTGATCTCCATAAAATTCCGGGTCAAGCTTGCTCACAGGGGGAAATTCCTAGAAAGATTAAAACGAAAAATTATTTATTGAAAATAAAATTTAGTGGGTAGAGATGAACTTAGATATAGAACTTCGAGATTACCTCAAGACGACGGATCATTACAGGGTTAACTCCGGCTAGCATTTCTCTAGCAAATTCTTCATCTGTCTGCCATGCGTTCTTGTCCTCTATTTTCAATTATTATACGAAAAAGTTACTTAACTATGAAATTAAAAATTCCTCCGTTCTATCATGCTATACCATAAGGAAAGAAAAAGGTAGTATCTAATAACTCTCGGTCTCTATTACCTTTCACAACTCGTGGACGAGAGAATTTGAGAAATCGTTGATCACTTTCGGTCCTTAGAAGTTCTTGGAACATGGGTGGTGTGAAACCCTTAGTGAGATTCCTAAACACATCCACGGGTACGGGAAATCCTCCTTCATAAAGATCATGAACATCTTGGAATTTGTCAAACTCGCCCGGAGTTAAGTTTATTAGGTTTACAAGTTCTGGTTGGACGGTTGAAGCAAGTGATTTCAAAGCAAAGCCAAGAAAATCTGACAACTTCAAGTGACCAAAGTTCTCATCTCTAGGTACGTAAATGGTTAATCCCAAAACTGATGACAATCTCGTCTCGTAGTTGGAATCTGAAAAATTAAAAACATTAAGAAATTGAATTCTAACTATATATCAGGTACAAAAATCTTATAAGAATCAATCTCAAAGGGTATGATTTAAAATTTCAAAATAAGTATTACTAATCTTACCCTTTCTAGATCGTGGCCTCCCGGTTCTTCCACGGCGCGGGTAAGGGAATTGGCTCCCTCCAAGAATGGGACGGGCATCTTTACCTGGTTCAGAAAGGTCGTTGTAGACATCATAGTCATAGATTCTATCCCATTCCTTACGTTCTCCCGTTCCATCTCCTCTAAGGGTCGACAGTTCTTCCTCTCTATACTTGCGAAGAGGATTTGGTGTCTCGCTTGGAAGATATGTCTATGTACGGAAATCAATAGATTAGGAATAAAGAAACGCCTCGAAATAGAGTGAGAAGAGAGGGGAAAACGAAAATATTACCTTGTTGGCGAAGAAAATACGATCTTTCTTGTATCTTCCAGAAGGGTAAACCCAGGAGTTGCAATCGAAATGGACGGTTCCAAAGCCGGGAACATCCTCGAGAGTGAGGGACTTGAGGAAGAACTCACTTGTGTGACCATTTTTGATGAAGAAAGCTCCGGGGAATCCGAAGTCATCTTCCCATGTAAAGTTGACTTGAAACACTGATTCTCCGGCGAACAATGGTGGGAGTGAAGTGATCCACCTCTCTAGAAACGCCTTGCTCCCAAGCTTCCCTCGCGAGTCATTTGCTGTGGATATCATCCATTACAATTTGGTGACCAAATAGAGATAAAAAAAAGAGAGAGAATAGAGGAAGGGAAGGTTACAAGCATGAGTGGCGCTGATGAGCTGAAGAGAAACGCCGCCGCCCAATAGCTCAGTGAAGCTATCAAGAACAGAGGAATGGAACTCAGTGAAATCCAACACATTGCTTCGCATAAGAATGACTTTCCCTTTGATCTTCTTGCCACCAAGGCTGGTGACCCGGTCTGCAATGTTACCACCGGCACCGATAACGGAGCCGGCAAGATCTCCGGTGGTATTCAGAGCTCCCTCTATGATATTCTTTCCAATTCCAAACATTTTGGCTCTCTTTTTCTGTGTCTTAGTTGTAGTAGATAGAAGAAGATGGTGTGAGTGTGAGAATCAATCAATTTTGCTCTTCTATTTATAGCACAACAAAACACTGTTCTCTCTCTCTCTCTCTCTCTCTCTCTCACCTGCCCGATAAGCTTAATGAAAATAAAAATAAACCCACATGAACCTCATTATCACGTCCAATGATTCACATTCAAAAAATATTAGTTTCACAATCACCTACCCTTTATTTTAATACATGGGTATTACAAAATTCATTTTCCCATGTCTTGAAAACGTGTTCATTAATACTTCGCTAAAAGAAAGAGAGATTATTACAAATGGTATCAAAATTAGTTATGCCAGCGAAAACCCTAACCTACGAAGAGGGTAGATTATGAGATCTCACATCAAGTGGAGAAAAAAACGAATCATTCCTAATAAATGTGTCGAAACCTCTCCCTAGTAGACCTATCGTGAGGCTGACGACGACGACGTTATAATGGACTAAAGTGAACGATATCTCCTAACCTTGGATTTGGCGGATATGATCCATTAAAAAATAAATAAATAAATTATTTTCTTATGTCATTCTTTTCCCTTTTTTTTTGGCTAAGATTATATTCTATTGCCATTATGTACATGTGATCTTATCAACAATTGATATTATTATAATACACTATATTACTAATATTATTATATGCATGCTCGTGTCCTGTCTTTAATTCAAAATGGAAAACAAACAAAAACTCATTGATTACAGTGTCGGTTGGGTTGTAAACAAAGAGTTTCGAATTTGATCGAAGAAAAATGCTTTTTTAGTTCTTCTCCCACGAGAATGTGCTAACTTCGGCTAATGACCAAGTCGACGAACTGTAGCGTCGAAGACACACCACACAACACAACCATCCACCTACCCATCTTAACATACTATAAGAGGGTAAAAAAATGTAGAATATTATATACTAAATGGAGAGGAAATATGATTCTAAATGTATAACCACCCTCCCGACTTCTATAACATGCCATTAAATATCGAAGGGTGTGGAAACCTCTCCCTAAAAGATGTATTTTAAAAATCTTGAGGGGAAGCTTGAAAAGGAAAGCTCAAAGATGACAATATCCGGTAGTTGGGTTGTTACAAATGGTATCAAAGTTCTAGGTTGTAGATTCTGTAGACTAGTATAGGATGTAGGTTTGACACATTTCATAGTCCCATATCGATTGGAGAAAGGAATGAGTGTCCGCAAGGACGCTGGGCCCTAAAGGGGTGGATTGTGAGATTCCACGTTGGTTAGGGTGGAGAATGAAACACCCTCTATAAAGGTGTGGAAACCTCTCCCTAGCAGACGGGTTTTAAAAACCTTGAGGAGAAGCTCGAAAAGAAAGCCCAACAAAGACAATATGTAGTAGCAGGGAACTTGGACCGTTATAACTTACTCTTCTACTAAATTCATTATTACAGGAAGGCTAAAAAAAAAAATTTGATAATTAGAAACTCAATCAATCAATAAGTAGGTTTGGAAACTTATTTGGGTTGGGTTTAAATAAATAAAAAATTTATAGATTGAATTGGTCTATAAAACCGGAACTTATTGTTAACCTCACTCCAAAACCTAAAACAATCAAAAGTAAAAAAATTAGGGTCGAGTGAAGTTGGGATTGGATCATGAATTTCTATACTGAGATTTGTTAAATATAAAATTAAAATTTTACTCGTTTATTAGATATTTTTTAAAATATAATATTTTTATTAGATATAAAATTAAAAGTTGAAAACTTATTTAAAAAGTTATAAAGATGATGAAAAACTGAAAGTTCAAGAACCAAACAATTCAGATCCTTTGATTTTTTAGTTGGATACAATGTTTAAGGATGAAAAATTCAAGCCTGTCTTATTTAGTTGAGATATGCTAAGATTGACGGTGAATTAGTTGATACCACGTCCAAAATGAAGATTTAATTGTAGGTATGTTTTTATATTCAAAATTATTTAATTTCTTTTGTTCTAATTACTTTTAGAATAATAAAAAAACATGAAAATAATTTAGGTATATTTTTATATTAAAAATCATTTATTTATTTATTATTATTTTGTTCTTATTACTTTTAGAATAAAAAAGATATAAAAAAAATATACGTATGTTTTTATATTCAAAATCATTAAAAAAAAATTGTTCTTATTACTTTTAGAATAAAAAGTATAAAAGTAATTTAGGTAAGTTTTTATATTAAAAATCATTAATTTCTTTTTTGTTCTTATTACTTTTAGAACAAAAAGATATAAAAATAATTGAGGTATGTTTTTATACTAAAAAATCATTTATTTTATTTTTATTTTTATTTTTTATCTTTTGTTCTTATTACTTTTAAAATAAAAAATATAAAAATAATTCCAGTGGAAAATAAATAATTGAGTTTTTAGAATGGTGGAGAGAGTTCTACAACATTTAGTTCCCTATCAGATTTGATATCTTTTTTTGGAGCATTAATGATAAGTTCCTTTTATAATTACTCGGTTACTCTCGTTTTGCTTGATTGAAGTCTCTTTCTTTACGTTACACTCTTTTACACACTTTTTATTCTTGTATGTCCTCGTAACTTCCCTTAAACTTTATCTCAAGCTTTAAACGGTATCGCAATTTTTACCTTTTTGATATATGTAAAGTTTTCGGTAAAAAACATTGATGACAATATACTTACATTTTTTTATATTTTACATATATAAGACATGTGTTTTGAAATGGGTAAAATTTGAGATATTTGTATTTATTTAAATTAATGGATGACTTCATTGAAAATTTAATACACGAAAAAAATAGCTACAAATATATAAGATTAAAATTTTATTTGACTTGATGGGGTTGAAATTCAAAAACTTAAATGAGTAACTAATTAGCTTCAAGAAAATCTAACCATGGCTAAATTGATCGAGACATTCTTCCAACCTGCCATATTTGTAACAACCCATGAGCATATATAAATCAATTCAATTACATGAATTAGAGTGGTGCAATGGAAGGGTAAGTGAGCATATAATGTCCAAGTTTTAAGATCAAAACATAGCTTTGGCACTCGATAGTCCCAACACCTTCTAAGAGTAAACACTACAAGTCATTTACTAATATAATAAACAACACCTTCTAAGAGTAAACACTACAAGTCATTTACTAATATTATTGTTTATTAATAAGAGAGGTAGGGAGAGAGAGGAAGAATTTCATTAACAATGATAGGATATCTTTTGACCTATAATGATGTCCTTTGATCTTTGACATACAACACGTCTTTTGACTTTAGAGAAAGCTCATTGCTGCTAGTCATTTGCTTAATCAAAGCTTCTGGTTTAGAAAGCAAGCTGATTTGCCCAACCTTGTATTGAGGAAATAAATGGTATTTCGTAATCCACAAATAAGATAACGTCATAATCGAGCATCGCTCGCTAACTCTTCGGCATCTAATTCTGAAATTTCAGAGCACAGATTTTTCACGTTCAAGAAATATTCTTCAACACAAAAATTACCTTGAGTTACCACAGCTAGTTCTCTAGAAATTGGAATTGAGCTGTATTTTTTTATTGAACAACTTTTGAAGTGTTTCCCACACTTGCTTTGGTGACTTTAAATCACAAACATGATCAATATACTCCTTCGCAAGGTAAATAAAGCTTTTCCACATTTGATCTTCCATTTTCGGCTTAATTCAACATTCTGTGTCATCACCTTCAATTAAATCCCACAAATCTTGACCATGGAGATAAGCTTCCATACATAACTTCCAATAATTATAATTATTGCCAACAAGCTTTTCCATAGCTATACTAGAAGCACTTCCACCATTCATCTCGTTGAGTAATAATATCAAACTCTTGGTTACCAACTTGGCTCTGATACCAACGGACACAATATCTACCACTCAAAAGTGTGAATAGATCTGAAAATATTATTACTCAAGGAAATAATACAGAGTTAAGAATGAGAAATATAATTAGGATAGAAGGTTCGATCTTTATTGATATTCACAACGTTAAATACAAGCTACCAACAAATACCTACAAACAAGAAAAGTATAAACTAACTAAACTTGAACAAAATAAAATATACTACTAATCAAATCATACAAAAAAAAATATTAACTGAGTAAGAAACTAATATATTTGCCAAATAACAAATATCTTAATTAATTCAAATTAGCAATAAGTTCACTAACCCATTAAATTCTAAAATTTAATTATCTATTTACACCTCAAATTAGTCAAAGAAAGGATTTCATTTAATTAAATTGAATCCAAATTTATAACATCAAGTAAAAATAGTTTTATTAAAAAATAATAAATAAATAAATAGGGCATTACAAGATGCCAAATATTTTCAAGAAAAAAAAAATTTTAAATTAGCAAACTAAACTATAAATAATAAATTGAAAGTATATCAAATATTATAGAGGCATGAATGAAAAAGTTTGATTTGATGTTAATGTTAAAATAAAATATAATTAGCGTAATCTAATGATTGTTTATTTTACTTTTATTTCACATGAGAATTATTTTATTTTCTATTCAAATAAAAACAAAGTGGAGGCATACGTGGCTATTAGTCATATAGGAGTCCATAATTTAATTATTTATTTGGTAATTAAATAGATTTAAAAGACTAATTTCTTGTTAAGTTAT